GAGTGATGATCAGTGCTGCCGGTCTCCCGAAACGATATTGGGCGGAAGCTATCAACACTGCTTGCTACACGCAAAATCGAAGCATGATCCACAAGTAGTATAAGAAGACGCCATACGAGCTATATAAAGGGAGAAAACCAAATATTGGTTATTTTCATATTTTTGGATGTAAATGTTTTATTCATATTAATGATAAATTGCATCTGAAAGCTTTTGATGAGCGTGCAGATGAAGGAATTTTTCTAGGATATTCAGCTACCAGTAAAGCATTCAGAGTTTTGAATAAAAGATCAATGGTGGTTGAAGAATCCATAAACGTGGTATTTGATGAAAAATCACAGATAAAAAATGATGCTCTGGGCGAAGAATTCGAACAAAATGGTAACAAGTGTCATATTGATTTTTGTGATACTAATGATACGTGTATAGATGATGTTTTGCAGGGAATGGATGAGTTGGAAATTAATTCTCTAGAAAATCCCATCCCTCATCCAGAAGAAGTTGGAAATTCTTTTAATAATAATTTTGGAGGTGAAGCCGCACGTGAGAATGGAGATGCAGTACGGGTTGAAGTTGGTGATCCAATTAGTGATCAAGTTACTGGTGAAGTTGGGTGGTCAATTCCAAAATGAATTAATTGAGTAAATTCGAACCAACTCATCCAGTACACAACAAATGGATCCACCCAGTACCATGCACCCATTTGAACCATATTTAAGACGGCTCAAAAATCACTCTCCAGAATTAATTATTGAGAATATTCATGAAGGCGTGAAAACAAGATCATCTACCATGGAAGCATTGTTCACGTGTTATCTATCTCAAATTGAACCAAAAGAAGTGCACGAAGCTCTTAATGATCCAGATTAGATAAATGCTATTCAAGAAGAGCTCGATCAATTCAAAAGAAATGATGTTTGGGAACTTGTTCCAAGACCGGCGAACCACAATGTTGTAGGAACCAAATGGGTCTTCCGGAACAAAGCAAACGAAGAAGGCGTGATTGTTAGGAATAAAGCAAGGCTCGTTGCAAAAGGATACTCTCAAGAAGAATGAATAGATTTTGATGAAACTTTTGCACCAGTGGCCAGACTCGAAGCAATCAGAATTTTCCTAGTCTATGCCGCACACAAAGATTTCACCGTTTATGAAATGGACGTGAAAAGCACATTCTTGAATGGTCTACTCAAAGAAGAAGTTTATGTCGAACAACCGCCAGGTTTTGAGGTAAAAGGCGAAGGTGATAAAGTCTACAAACTTAAAAAGGCATTGTATGGGTTGAAACAAGAACCTAGATCTTGGTATGATACTTTGTCAATGTTCTTGATAAGCTGTGGATTCACCAAAGGCCTTGTTGACAAAACTCTATTTAGAATTCAAGATGGTGATCATATTTATTAGTGCAAATCTATGTTGATGATATTATTTTTGGAAGCACTAACAATTCTTTGTGTGAGAAATTTTCGAAGCTTATGCAGAATAAATTCGAAATGAGCATGATGGGTGAATTGAATTACTTCTTGGGCTTACAAGTCAAACAACTGAAAGAAGGAATATTCATCAATCAAGCAAAGTACACCCGCGACTTGATAAAGAAGTTTGGCCTTGATGGAAAATCATCGATCAAAATTCCAATGAGTACATCATTGAGGCTAGACAAAGATGAAGATGGAAAGGATGTCGATCAAACAAAATATAGAGGAATGATTGGTTCTCTTCTATATCTTACTGCAAGCAGCCCGGACATTTCTTATGCTGTGGGAGTGTGTGCAAGATTCCAAGCAAATCCTAAAGAAAGCCACCTCACCGCAACAAAGAAGATCATACGAAATCTGAAAGGCACAATCAATGTTGGATTGTGGTATCCAAAAGGTACAGATTTTACTTTAACGGGTTTTTCAGATGCGGATTTTGCAGGTTGCAAAATAGACAGAAAAAGCACTTCTGGGACATGCCAGTTCTTGGGGGGAAGGCTTGTTTCTTGGTTCAGCAAAAAGCAAAATTCCATTGCAACCAGTACCACCGAGGCAGAATATATTGCTGCAGGAAGTTGTTGTGCGCAAATTTTGTTGATGAAGAAACAATTGAAGGATTACGGAGTTAATTGTGATGACGTTAGTATTTATTGTGATAATACTAGTGTAATCGCTATCACTCATTCCGGTGCTTCACTCAAGAACCAAACATATCGACATTCGACATCACTTCATAAGGGATCACGTTGAAAAGAAAAATCTAAAGATCGAATATATCCCTACGGAAAACCAAGTTGCTGATATTCTCACGAATCCTTTATGCGAAATGAGATTTTCTACCTTAAGGCACGAGTTGGGAATGATCGAAATGAGCTAAGTATCACTGGACTTAATCTCTCAATTTAAATTGATACTTGTGCTCAAAATAAATTATTTTACGTGAATAAATTGTTTTATGCGATTACATGCATATGTTTATTCGAAATTTTGTGTAATAAAATTGCAATGTGTGTTAGGAATTTATTTGTGTATTTGCATGTGTTATTTAACGTGAAATCATATGCCATGTAAATTAATTTGATAAAATGTGCAATTCGTGATTTATTTGACAATTTGTTTAGAATTGCATGATTTAATGTGTTATTTAGTCTACGAATATTTGTTCATGTTTGTATAATTTGATTAATTTGTTTGCATGAACAATTTGCTTTAAAAATCTAACGTGTTTATTGTATTATACATGTGTTTCGTGCATATATGGTTTATGTGTTATAATTTGATATAAAATGTAGAAATCTGAGTTGAAAGTTAAATTTGTTAGTTTCTAAAATATTTTAGAATTTGATTTGTGTGCAAATTATGTGAAGAGGTTTCTAAATACAAATTTGGAATATGTGTGATAATTTTGTTAATTTCCAAAATGTGTTTAACTTGATTGGAAATTGCCGTGTGTGTGATTAAATATATTGTTATGTGTAATTGATTATTTATGGTTGATTTATGCTACTAACGAGATGTTTGAGTGTAATTGTATTTGTGGTACACGATTTTGAGAAGGAAATTAGGAGATAAAGGAGGAAAATCAGAGTTTAAATGGGTATCAAACCTCCACCCATAAACTCCTACCCTTTCTAAAACTCCACCCAACCTAAACCTCCCCCCATAATCCTCTCCTAAATCAAAACTTTCCAAACAGATTTACCCTCTATCTCTCAATCGACACCCGCATCTCGCCTGTCAGAAAAATCACCCTCTCAATCGATCCCCATAAACAAATCTCAAGGAGATCAGAACCCAAATCCTTCTTAAGTGTCTCTTCAAATCTCCACCCTCTACACCTTACGTGCATTGGGTATTTCTAAGGAGGTGTGAGCATTAAATGCCCTTGTCTGCTAATGATGATATCTTCTCTTTCCTCGTAACAGCCTCTATCAGATGACTCATCTACCCTAAACTCACCCATTCGACACACCTCAACAAAAGGGTACAATTGAGAAGTTTCATATCTCTCTTTAAATTCGAAAAACCCTTCGAATCACCCTCATATAAACCCCTCACTTATCTCTCAGAAAAGTCTTTCAGACATCCAAATTATCATAGAACTCTCTCTCTCAAAATTATATCGTCCCTCCCCTATCAACTGATCTGATCATCATGGCTCAATCTGGAAGAAAGCAAATTGATCCTTTTCTAGCCTGAAATTGCACCGTGATACTTGAAAAATAAAAGCAATGTGTTTTTTACTCGTTAATTAAGTTATGCACCAGTTTTGTTAATTAATTAGACTTGTTTAAACAAGTGTAAATAATAACTGCAGAAAGCATAAAGTAAATTAAAAACACAAAGAAATTGTTACGCAGTTCGGAGCTCCTTCTCCTACGTCTGCGGGGCAACCCGCGTCTGCCCAATCCACTATAGATGTTCACCAAAAGGAGTATTACAAGAGGTAAATGAAGATGGCCTCCAGCCTTTACCACTACCACTCTTTCTAACACCTATCCAGGACTGACACACGAATACCCGAACAATCTTCACTAGATACTTCAGCAGTACCACGTACTGATCATGTAGTATAGCTTAAATATTCTTAAGAATTAAATAATAAACCACATTAAAATAAATAGCTTTGTAAATCATAATAGCTCTCGTAAATTATAATCTCAAAGTTGGCAGCATCTTCTTTCGAACAGCACCTTTTTATAGCACTTCATGAGTTCCCTTTGTGATCCCTAAAAGTAGCCCTTTTTTCTTGCTCTTCCTTGTTCGAATAAGCCACAACCACAATTTTATTTCTTTGAAATCTTCACCCGTAGACTTTATTCACCAAGGCATACCATCCACTTATTTTGTAATCACATGGTCCAAAAAGGAAATAATTCTAACAACAATAATTTAATTTAAAACTAATGAGACTAAAAATAAAATAGCCAATATTGTGTAAATTATTTTACACTTACAATCTCCCCCTTTGGCATTTTATTTGGAAAACATGAGTATCAAATACTTTGGGCAATAATCAATTTAATTTTATTTATAGCCCTTAGTATAGGTACTTAACAAGACACAAGGATAAAAAAAAAAATAACAACTTAAGTTCTTTTTGGAGCATTTGTGAATAAAGTACCTGATTAGAATTCTTCAAGTCTTGGATCACACACAGAAGCATTGAAGTCATAACATACCACATCATAAATTAACTTGTTCATGTGAGAGTAGCATAACCCGAAACATCCATTCAACTTGTTAGGTGCACCAAACAAACTACTACTCCCCCTAACACATATAGTTCTATTATTTCCATAATGAATACCAAAAAAACAACCAAACAAATGTAACCACTGCCAAACTACCAAATATTCCATCATAGTCCTTACCAAAAGTTCCATACAAATCCAATACTTCCAAAATATCCAAAAGTTTCCAAAAAATCCAAAAGATACCATAATACTCCCCCTTACTCCAAAACTCCCCCTTTTTGCCAAATAAATGACAAAGGAAGGTGAGCATCATAATAGTGGATTAGTTTTACCGTGCAGACGGGGTGCCGGAGTCAGAATCATCATCGTCATCTTCAGAGTCAGAACCAGAGGAAGCAACCCCAGCGTCAGCCAGAATTTGAGCGTGAATGGCTTCCATGCGAGCAACCTCTTTGAGCTGTGCATCACGAAGGTTTTCAAGGCCGGAGATGGTGGCTTGTTGAGAAGCAACGGATTGTCGAACCTGTGCAATTGAGGCCTCAAGAGTGAGCACAATTTGTTTACGATCAACCAACGTTGGAGGCTCTTTGGGAACCAGTCTTGAGCCTGGACGAGAGGCTGACGCCGTGTCAGCGGATGAGGCTAGCGCAGAAACCAGTGGAGCTGGAGGCGGAATAGCAGGAAGTTGATCCAGAGAAGCCCGATCATCATAATGGCCCCTCTGTGTAAGGCGATCATCAAAGATATAAGCATTGTCAGGAGTTGTAATCACTTCTTCCTTATAGGGCTTAAAACCATGTTCTTGAAGCACCCCAAAAATCAAACTCGGATATGGGAGGTGGGCCTTTGCTTTTTTCTTCTGCAAAAAAGAGATTAAGTGAGAGAAAATGATCATTCCCAGGTTGAACGGAAGACGGTTCCGGATTTTGTAGAGGAGGCCAGCAAGATGTTCCGAAACTTGATGACGACGCACAGCCGGGACCCAATTAGCTGACGCAAGGCGAAGAAGCACTGAATAGACAGTGGTGAATTTCAAGCTTGCGAGTCTGTCACTTGGCCATGAGACGTCTTTATTATGAATGAGTGCAGCAGCCAACAAGTGTGGGCTAGGATCCAGAGAAGCAGGGTGATTCGGCGTGCCCAAATAAGCATTAATCTTTGTAGGCCCAAAGGGATACCATGTGCCACGAATGAAAACTTGATGAAACCGCGCAGAACCTTCAGTGAATGTGTCCAAGGTCAAATTGGTGTAGAACTCGGCTGTCGACCATGCGGAGTAGGGACCAACATGCCGTAGAGATGCAAGTAAATTTTGATCACGCAACAGTGGGATAATATTGCACTTGGCAGTCAAATCTTCTTCATTGATAGACTTTTCGAGGATGAAGTCGCGTTTGACATGGGTCTTCCAATCAGCGAATAAATCGGGTGAGAGAAGCTTTGGCTTGTAGACCTTGCTGGACCCTTTTGATTTGGAGCCGGATGGGACAGGTACGGCAGGCGTTTCAGCTAGGGCTCGGGACCGAGTGATTCTGGGCGGAAGAGTGGACCCCCTTCTTTGATGTTTGCGTTCAGAGTGAATATCCACATCATCAACTGTTGAAAATTTTCGCTTCTCGGCATGACCTGCATCAGACAGCTTTTCTTTTCCCATTCAGGAAGACTTAGATAGAGGCACAGTAATAAGGGGGACAGAGTCTTGAGTAGGTGACACAAACAGAGGTGCATGTTCAGTTTCGGACAGTGTGGCGGGAATGTGTATGGGTATAGAGAAGGCAGAGCAAGTCATAGCCACAACAGGAGTAGATAAATGTTGAGCAATATTTCTAATGGAGAAATTTGATGGCAGTGAACTCACAAAATCAGAAAAAGCAACCAAAGGTGTGGGACTGCTGGACAAGTAGTGAGAGGCCGGATCATAGGGGTCATTAGGTAAAGGCAAAGAGCGCACATTTATGGAACTACTAGGCACAGTAGATACAAATTTCTCAGGTAAGGAGACATTGAAATCAATTTTTCGAGAAGTAGACAAAGCATGTTCTAGAGGAGAGAGAGACAAGGGAGATACCACAGGATTAGACGGAGATAGAGAGACTGTCGCTGGTAGTGGCTCCGGTACGGCAGTCGCGGCGGATGTCTCGGCCGGAATGGGGAATGGAGCGGCGGAGATGTGGCGGGCAAGTGCAAGCAGCTGTCGTTTTTCCTTGTCCGTGAGTCCTTCTAGAAGAGAAGATTGTTGCTTGATGGTGGCAAGAACACGATTGGTGACTTCGGTTGAAAACGGAGACTCGGCATATATGATTTGATGAAAAAGCGTGAGCCTTTCAGAAGGTGAAACAAGGATGAGAAAAGGATTTTCCATTTGAGAAGTGTTTCAAGAAGTAACAATGGTGGAATCGGATGGAGTGAGATCGATGGAGAGGATGATGGTCTCGACTTTAGGCGTAGTGGAGGCAAGGGAAGAGACAAAACATTAAATGTGAGAGGATAGCTTCTAAAAAGCCGTGTAGTGATAGGATGGGTAGAAGACTTAGGTTATTATGTAGGCTATTGAGTAGGAGTAGGATAGAGAATAGGAGTTAGGCTTGAATTAGTGTTCTAGATGTAGCATGAGGCACCCGAAAATAATAGAAAAACAAACGTATTATAACGACAAGTATAGGCAATTAAGTTTGAAAAAAAAACTTTGTCCCTGAGAACAAAAAAAAAAAAAAAAAAACGTATCACTTTGTCCCTGAAAAAGAATACGTACGTAACACAAAAAATTAAACTGTTAGATCAACAACAAAAAAAAAAAAAAAACAAACAAATACAAGCCAGAGGGAATTAGATAGTAAGCGTACAAACTCCGAGAGCTGCGCGAAGTAGTTGAAACCTGGACTTGTCTAACGACTTTGTGAATAAATCTGCAAGATTTTTATCAGTAGAAATATAGCCTAACGTAATTTCTTTTTCTTCGACTAGCTCACAGATGAAATGATGACGTATGTCTATGTGCTTCGTCCGGGAATGTTGGACCGGGTTTTTAGATATGTTGATCGCGCTAGTGTTGTCATAGAAGAGAGTCATATTTTTCTGATCAAACCCGTAGTCTGAAAGCATTTGACGCATCCAAAGCAGTTGAGTACAGCAACTACTTGCAGCTATGTACTCAGCTTCTGCAGTGCTGAGCGATATTGAATTATGCTTTTTACTCAGCCAGGCAACTAGATTTTTCCCAATAAAGAAGCACCCTCCTGACGTGCTTTTTCTATCATCAGCGTTACCAGCCCAGTCAGCATCACTAAAACCTGTAAGACTAAGATTAGTGTAAGTGGAATACCAAATACCATAATTGATTGTACCTTTAACGTATTTTATAATACGTTTGACTGCTTTCAAGTGCGATTCCTTTGGATCTGCTTGATAGCGTGCACACATTCCAACACTTACCATGATGTCTGGTCTATTAGCAGTTAAGTACAGTAGACTGCCAATCATACTCCTGTACAAGGTGGAGTCAACGGAAGTTCCTTGGTTGTCTTTAGATAATTTTGTAGTTGTTGAGACAGGTGTCCGCGCATCTTTCGCAGATTCAAGACTGAATTTTGATAAGAGATTTTTCGCATATTTCGCTTGAGAAATAAATATCCCTTCTTTTGACTGATTGACTTGTAATCCTAGAAAGTAAGTCAGCTCTCCGATCATACTCATTTCAAACTCTTGATGCATAACTTTGACCAGTTTGTCCGTTTCACCTGTCTGTGTAGACCCAAACACAATATCGTCAACATAAACTTGTGCAATGGTTATGTGTTTACCTGATTGTTTTATGAACAAGGTTTTGTCTGATCCCCCTCGTTTGTAATTATTCTGAAGTAAATATTGGGCGAATCTTTCATACCAGGCTCTTGGGGCTTGTTTTAGCCCGTATAGAGCTTTTTGAAGCTTGTATACATATTCCGGATGATGCGGGTCTTCAAACCCTTTCGGTTGCGCAACATATATATCCTCAGTGAGATAGCCATTTAGAAAGGCTGTTTTAACATCCATCTGAAAGAGCTTGATCTTTAGAGCATAGGCAATGGAGAGAAGCAATCAGATTGATTCCAGGCGAGCCACTGGAGCAAACATCTCGTCGTAGTCGATTCCCTCGATTTGGGAATACCCTTGAGCTACCAGTCTTGCTTTATTTCAAGCGATATTGCCGGCTGCGTCAGTTTTGTTTCGAAAAATCCACTTGGTATCTACAACGTTTACGTTATTCGGTTTAGGGATTAGAGTCCATACCTTGTTCCTTTCGAATTGTCCCAATTCTTATTGCATGGCCTTGATCCAGTGTTCATCGGTTAAGGCTTCTTTGATATTCTTTGGTTCAATCTGCAACGTATAGCAAGAGTATCCAGCTAGTTCAAGATAGTCGCGCTTTGGTTTACCTCTAGTTTTCACACCTGAACTGGGGTCTCCAATCACATTTTGGATCCGATGATTTTTCTGGATACGAGTTGGAATATCAATATCATCGTGATCATTTTCTAATTCTATCTTAGGTTCAGATTCAGGTTGATTGTATATGGGCGATGAGGTAGGTGACTCATGGTCTGGTTCTGGAGTACTAGCGTTAGGGGTTTTAGGTCAGTCAGTTTCAGGTTCTGTCACTGGGTCAGATTGGATAACTTCAGTAATCTCACTGGGTTGATCATCAATGACGACATTTGTGGACTCCATGATGGTTTTGGTCAATTTATTATATACTCGATAGGCTCTCTGTTGGTGGAATATCCGAGAAAAATTCCTTCGTCGCTTTTTGGTTCAAATTTAGAAATCGGATTCCTATCCTTCAAAATAAAACAACGTGAGCCGAAAATGTGAAAATAAGTAATGTTTGGCTTCTTACCTTTCCATAGTTCGTACGGAGTTTGTGTTGTGCCTGGGCGTAGATAAACTCTATTGATGATGTGACATGCGGTGTTTACAGCCTCAGCCCAGAACTTTTGTGGTAATCCTTTGGCGTTGAGTAACACTCTTCCCATTTCCTGAATGGTGCGATTTTTCCTTTCCACAACTCCGTTTTGTTGTGGAGTTTTTGGGGCTGAATACTCATGTGTAATCCCAGATTGATTACAAAAGTCATCGAACAACTTGTTTTCAAATTCTCTGCCGTGATCGCTTCAGATTCTACTGATGGATTCATTTCTTTCCTTTTGAAGTTTTAATCCCAGTGTCTTGAACGCCTCAAGCGCTTCGGATTTTTCCTTGAGAAACATAACCCAAGAAAAACGAGAAAAGTCATCAACACATACCAATATGTATTTCTTACCTCCGAAACTTTCTATCTGAGTTGGCCCAACGAGATCCATGTGAACCAATTCTAGGCACCGGTTCGTGTTTATGGTGTGTTGTGCTGGATGCGATGATTTGATTTGTTTCCCAGCTTGTCATGCACCACAGATAGTTGAATCGACTTTCATCTTTGGTAACCCACGAACACCTTCTATTTTTAAAAGTTTGTCGAGAAGTCTATAACAGAGATGACCCATTTTTTGATGCCACAGCTCAGCTTCATTCATGCTGGACCTGCAACATAGCACATTATTTGTTAGAATATAGCAATTATCAGTCGATTGTTTACCTTCCATGACACACTGATTTGTTTTGTCCATCACACTGCAGCTATTTTTAGTGAAGCATAGTTCCAGTTTTGGTCGCACAACTGACTTATGCTGATAAGATTAGCGTGAAGTCCACGGACAAGTAGCACTTTGTCCAGTTTCGGCAAACCAGCTACATTTAGAGTGCCTACGCCAGTCACCTGACCTTTGACACCGTCGCCAAAAGTAACTTCACATTTACTGGTATTTACGTTGTTCAGGAATTTGACATTTCCTGTCATGTGATGGGAACATCCGCTGTCAAAATACCATTTCTCTTCTCTTCCTGCACTTTTAGTATGAAATGAAACAAACGATACGTAATCAGTCTTTTTAACCCAAATCTGTGCCTGAACTTCTCGATTCTTTGATCCTTGTAGAAATACTAGCATTCAGGTCTGGTATGTCCGCGTAACCTGCAATAGTGGCAAATGGGATTATATAGTTTATAGCATATCTTATTTATGCTTACTTTACCATAGGAGCGTTTCATAGTGCTGGATTCAGGGATGTCGTCTGGATCAGGTCTGGATGCTTTGACAAATACAGTCTTATCTTTGGAGTTATTACCAGTGAAGCCCAAGCCAAATTTTGCAGAAGAGTTCCTGCCGAAATCGAGAATCTTATCAAGTGTTGAAGTGGTATCCATCATTTGGATTTGTCGTTTGTAGGTGCTGAGCTCCTGTTTCAAGGTTTGTACTTCTTGCTGGAGTTTTTCTTCTCGGTCAGCTGCCTCCTTAAGTAGTACATTTCCAGTTTGTACTTCATTTTGTAGTCTTTCTTCTTGATCAGCAGCTTCTTTAAGCAATACATTCCTATCAGCTACTTGATTTTGATATACTTTCTTTGCATTGGTTACAATCTCTATTTCACTAGCTAGTTTGCAGTTCATTTTTCTTAATGCTTCCCATTTGGGGTACAACTTGTTAAACTCAGCTTCAAAAGATAAAGTATTTAGTTCCACATCTTATGCAGAGACATATTCACCACCTTCTGAGTCTTCAACGGTTTCTGAACTGCCAGTAACTCGTGTCGTAAATGCAACAAAATTACCCGAGATTTCTTTGACATCCAATCCAGTTTGTTCAACGTCAGGCTCGTCATCACTCCAGGTAATGGCTGACATAGATTTTTTGCGTCGAAGATAGGTTGCACACTCAGTTTGTACATGTCCGAAGCCCTCGCACTTATAACACTTGATTCCTTTATTGTTGGACTTTTCTTTGGACTGTCCTGGACGTGAGACAGACTGTTTGAAGTTTGACACCCCTGTCCTAGGCACAGTTTTGAACGACGTCGCTCCCTTTTGTGAATTCCTGTTGCATGTGTTTTTGGATACCTGTTTTAAAATTTTGGAAAACTGTTTAGTCAAGAACGCAACTGTATCATCACTAGTTTCATCTTAATCGGATACAACATTATTTTCTTCAGCGACAAAAGCAACATTTTTTTTTTGTTTTTTCGTATGATCAGTTAGAATCTCCATTTCATATGTTTTAAGATTTCCCATTAGCTGAGTAACAGTTTTATTCTCCCAGCCATCATGCTCTTGGATGGCTGTGACTTTCATTTGAAACCTGGGAGGTAGAGAGCTCAGTATTTTCTTAACAAGTTTTGCTTGCGAGAATGGTTCACCAAGGACCATAGCGCGATTCGCCAGATCCTGTACTCGTGTGTGAAAGTCGATGATTGAGTCATCCTCATTCATGCGAAGCTCTTCGAATTCTGACGGGACTAGTTGCAGTTTTGACTGTTTTACCGATGTCGTTCCTTCGTAAGTAGACTCAAGAGCCTCCCAAGCACCTTTAGCTGAAGGAATACCTGCAACAATTGAAAACTGGCTTTCATGCATGAGAGAATAAATTGTGTCTAAAGCCTTATCATTGTTTCTAGCGTTGGTTATTTCTGTTTGAGTCCACTCAGTCTCAGGCTTAGCTATTTCTGTTCCGTCAGTGCTGGAACTAGGTTTGGTGGGATGTGTCCAACCTGCCACCACAGACCGCCACACGGCTTCACCTTGAGCTTTTAGATGCGTACGAGTGCGAGCCTTCCAATATGCGTAGTTGTCACCGGTCAACTGGGGAATGACTTTAGTACAATCCATTCTGTAACACTTAACACCCCGTGAGATCAAACAAATAAGCAATAAAAGAATAAATAAAAATAGCCGCTGAAGAAATGAGTTCAAGATGCACGGATTCGCCAGATCGATAGACTAATAGGTTAAGTCTACAGGCTCTGATACCAATTGAAATTGCACCGTGATACTTGAAAAATAAAAGCAATGTGTTTTTTACTCGTTAATTAAGTTGTGCACCAGTTTCATTAATTAATTAGACTTGTTTAAACAAGTGTAAATAATAACTGCAGAAAGCATAAAGTAAATTAAAAACACAAAGAAATTGTTACGCAGTTCGGAGCTCCTTCTCCTACGTCTGCGGGGCAACCCACGTCTGCCCAATCCACTATAGATGTTCACCAAAAGGAGTATTACAAGAGTTAAATGAAGATGGCCTCCAGCCTTTACCACTACCACTCTTTCTAACACCTATCCAGGACTGACACAAGAATACCCGAACAATCTTCACAAGATACTTCAGCAGTACCACATACTGATCATGTAGTACAGATTAAATATTCTTAAGAATTAAATAATAAACCACATTAAAATAAATAGCTTTGTAAATCAGAATAGCTCTCGTAAATTATAATCTCAAAGTTGGCAGCATCTTCTTTCGAACAGCACCTTTTTATAGCACTTCATGAGTTCCCTTTGTGATCCCTAAAAGTAGCCCTTTTTTCTTGCTCTTCCTTGTTCGAATAAGCCACAGCCACAATTTTATTTCTTTGAAATCTTCACCCGTAGACTTTATTCAGCAAGGCATACCATCCACTTATTTTGTAATCACAAAGTCCAAAAAAGAAATAATTCTAACAACAATAATTTAATTTAAAACTAATGAGACTAAAAATAAAATAGCCAATATTGTGTAAATTATTTTACACTTACATAGCCCTCTTGCAACAAGTGACTAATGGGATGGTACTCAACCCCAATTTTTTCAAACTGGGTTCTACCAACAAAGATACGGCCGAGAAAATTCTTCATGCACTGAAGGACTGCGGACTGTTTGATTTCTTCACCTACAACTACTTTGGAACATTTGAAGAAGATGTAGCTGAATTCTATCTACATGCAGTCGTTGAAAAAGATTTGATCAAATCTCGAGTTGGAGGATCAGAAGTTTCAATAACTGAGAATGATATACACAAAAGTGTTTCAGTTTTCCTGAATATTAGTTAATGCCAGAATCTCACAGCTATGTTGTTCAAAATTTTTGGAATGAGATTCGTGGTTCTACGGCTCCAATCTTCTCTGATGTATCCGCTCATAAGAACGTGTTGAAGTTTGAATATGAGATGTTGGTGGACATGATTTACAAGATTCTTGAACACAAACTGGGAAGTACTGAAGATTTGACCGCATCAACAGTGTGCTTGATGGACGGAATTATGAAAGGAATAAAATTCAAATGGGCAAGATTTATCTACAGGAAGATGGTTATATTTGTGCAAGTTCAAAGATGATTTCTTCAAGTTCAAAGAACATGTCAAGGAAACCTTGAAGAAAGACTTTGGTGTAAAGAAACCCAGAAGGTAATCTGAAATATCTCTTAAATTGATATTTTTGCTATTTTCGAACCTCTGTTGCGTTTTTCTCTAAGCATTCGAAATATATCAATAATAATTTCCCATGGTCTATTTTGATTTTATAATTTTATTTGTCTTTTGTAATTAGACATTCGTGAATTAAAAGGACAAGGAATGTCAAAACGCACATAAAAATTAAAAAAAAAAAGATTATCAAAAATAAAAGGCAAAAGTGTCAAATAGCCCCCTCTACTATCGCGAAGCGCTCAATTCCCCCCACGAACAAAAACATAGTTTAATTAGCCACACTAACCATCCAACTTTGTTTTAATAGCATTTTTCGCAGGTTACCAGCCTGTTGCCTTTCCATTTCTTCTGACGTGGAAAATATTTTTAATGACATGGCATGGCCTATTTAGCTCAAACCCTAGAAGAACACACGACATTCCTCTTCTCAGTTTTCACGACCTAAATCCCTACTAATCAGCCCCTTCACTCTTCAATTTTCACGACCTCAATCTTCTCCGTTCAGACGACCTCAATTGCAGATTACGCCCGTTCACTCTTCAATCTTCAAGCGCGCCTGGGCTTCGTCAACAGATTTGGGGGTGCGAATTCTCGTCATGTCATCATCTTCGACTTCATCTAGCGTGCGACCTAATTTCGAGTATGATCCTCCAATATACTGTAGGTGTGGATTGAAGGCTCCAATCTGCACAACCGAGATTCTGGGAAGAAATTTTATGGATGTCAAAGGTGGAAGGTACATTTATATTCTTAATTTGTAGATTGTTGTTAATTTTTGAATGAGAAAAAATTGTTGTGAACTTCTTCAATTTTGATCAGGAGGGTGTTGGGTGTGGTTTTTTCGTTTGGAAAGAAAAAAATGAAAACGCAGAGGGAATGGAGGAATTGAAGAAATTGGTTGCAAGCATGAGGGCTGACTTGATGACTGAAATAGGTGTTCTACGTGCAATGTTTGAGAGTGAATTGCAACAGAGGAAATTGAACGAGAAGAAAGCTGTAAAGAAAAAGTGGTTTTTAATTTTTTTTTTAATTGTGTTAATTTCTGTAAAGATTCTGTATGGTTTTTAATTGTTTTAGTTGTAGAATTCAATCGAATGGCATGTATGGTTTTTGTATGAATGCTAATAACATTGTGCCAATGGTAATTGGGGACGAGTATCTTCAAGTTATACACGTTGTAGTATCTGCAAATGGCTTATATTTTAACTCTTCTATTCCATGAATTACTCAAAAATTAGCAAATTAGAGTAATTCAATACACAACAGTTGAAAAGAAATGGAAAAATTGCTAATGGTAACTAACGTTTTTTTGTCAAAGTTTGGCCAAGTTTGTAATGCACTAATTGACTGCAGAATTCATTGTCAAGTTCACACAATTCATTGCCAAATTAAACTGCAAAATTCACACTGCCAAAACAAACAGAGTTCAAATGGTTCATTACTGCCAAAATTCACACTGCCAAACAGAGTTCAAATGGTTCATTACTGCCAAAATTCACACTGCCAAACAGAGTTCATTACTGCCAAATAGTTCAATTACTGCAATAACAAGTTCAAGTTCATTACTGGCTTGTTTACAAAACAGTTAGACTTGCAAAAATAAAACATAACATAGTTACAAGTGATATCCAAAACATTGCTACACTACCAACAGAGAACTACATCAGAGTTAATTCCCTCCACTTGTGCTTGGTGTATTGGTCCTCCCCCTTCTAGGTTTATATATCACTCGTTGACTTGGTAATCCATGCTATACAAAAATAAAACCATAAGTTAATTATTTCCAAAGTAACACAACAATAGGGCAAGTAAAGTAGTGAACATCATTCCTTACATTTAGTGTGACTTCTCCGGTGTGTGGGTTTGTATATATACCAAGCCCAACTTGTCTTCCACCTGTTGCAGCACCAGAATGGCCACCTCTTGTAGCATAAGTCTCTCCTCTTGCACTTGAACTTCTAGTCTGACTTGGTTGATTAGGACAATAACGTTTGTTGTGTCCCTTTTGCTTACACAATGCACAAGTCATCACTCTTCCCTTCCTAGACAAATGAGTAGTGGACTGTGAAGGCCTAGGTTCTGATTCTTCTTACTTTCTTCTTTTCTTAGGCCTTCCAGTCATCTTCTTTGGAGCAGGTGCATGTATCTTATCACTTTGAGTATTTGGCCAAAACATCTCACCATTTAAGGGTTGAATCACATGTGTATATGTTTTGATATACACATCCTTAGAGTACCAATCATGCACAAACTCTTCCGGTTGTCTTCCTTTGTCAAAAATAGCACAAACTGCATGTGAACATGGGATTCTAGTGAGATCCCAAGATCTGCAAGAACAAGTTCTCCTTTCTATACTCACCTTATATTGATGCTTCCCCTTCTTTATCTCATATCCATCATCACCATTAAAATCCACCTCCCAACCAACACTTTCAACAATGTTGTCATTTAATTTCTTCATAATAAATGACCCAAATTGGCCATTCCACTTTTCAACTAAATACTTCTTCGCAGCAATCCTCTTCATCACTCCAACTCTGATGTCCTCTAACATTGAAACTATTGGTTTAGACCTAGCCTTTAAGAGTGTATTGTTGAAGGCTTCTGAAAGGTTCTTATCCACTATGTCACACTTCACCTCTGTCCTGAAAAAGGCTTTACACCACATCTTCATTGGGTATTTGTCTAAGTCTTTCCTTGCATTCAAGTCTATCTTTTCTAATGCTTTGAGTTCTTCCTGTTGTTGTGCTTCTGTGGTAGCCTTAGCACATTACCAGAAAAGCTTTTTCATCACCTTGCCTCTATGACTTTTACTCCAGTTAGCATGGACATGCCTTGCACAATTCCTGTGCTCAATCCCAGGAAATAATTCTGCAATAATAGTACTTAGACCCTGCACAAAATAAGCAATCTGTAAATAAGCAAATATCAGTAGTTTATGTCTATTAAAGTCCAATAACGTTAGCAAATATCAGTAGTTTATGTCTATTAAAGTCTAATTAAGTTAGCAAATATCAGTATTAAAGCAGTCTATTAAAGTTAGCAAATAAAGTTAGCAGAAAAAATAAGCAATATGAATTGCAGTAGTTTATGTCTATTAAAAATAAGCAATCTGAATTAAAGTTAGCAAAAAACAGTTCTTAATCTGAATTGCAGTAAAAAAGAAATCTGAATTGCAGTAAAAATAAGCAATCTGAATTGCAGTAGTTTTGTCTATTTAAGTTAGCAAAAAAGAGTAAATAAACATGTACAAAAACTGAATTGCATACCTTTTGTTGATCACTCATAATTGTCCAGTCAGTGGTGTCCCACATCCCTAGATCTCCCTTCAACAAATCCAGAAACCATCTCCAAGAAGAATTATTCTCAATCTCAACAACAGCCCAGGCAATAGGATACATTTGATTGTTTCGATCCCTACCAACCGCAGTTAGAATCTCTCCCTTCAACATACCTTTTAAGAAACACCCATCTAGCTCAATCACCTTCCTACAGCCTTCTACAAACCCTTTTTTAACAGCAGCAAAACATACATATATTCTTTGAAACACACATGGAGCATCTTGAACAACCTTATTTGTTTCTATCTTAACAGTGCTACCTGGATTCGAGTTGAGACATTCTTGAGCATAATCTCTTAGTCTCTTAAATTGCCCTTCATAGCCCGCATCCAGTTTCTTTATAATTCCTTTGATAGTCCTTCTAGCCATGCTTATTGAGATATTGAGCTTTAAATCAGCCTTTATGTCATTCTTCAATTGAGTAAAGCCAATGCAAGGATCCTTTCTGACTTTGTCCTCTAATTTATCTACAAGCTACTTTTGACTCACAACCCTTAGCTTGTACTTTGAATTGCATCTATGGACCAGATTAATTGACTTTACTTGAAAGCATTTGTATCTATCTTCCCACCCTGCACTACAGTAGAATGGACAACCCTCTCCTTTACACTCAGTCCTGACATATTTATGTTCATTTTTTCCCAACAAATGTCTCTTTTATTATGTACAACATAACTAATCATTGCATTTTTAAATTGCACATTATCATCAAACAACATTCCTAACTCAATCTGAGGTGGATCGGACTTTGGATTATATATAGGATATCTAGATTTCATCCTACTAGATTGGACCTCTTCACCAACATCATTGTCATTCTCTTCTTGAATGGTAGGAGGATCATCTGAATCATAGTAAACAGATTCATTCCCTTCATGCTCATCCACAGTAGTAGTTTCAGGTTGCTTACCCATAGTTTCAGCCCCATCATCAGCCCCACCATCTTTTTCTTCATCACTGTAAGGCCCACCATCAGTTTCTCCATCATTATCTTCCCCACCTTCAGTTTCAAAGTCTGACCCTACTTCCCCTCCTTTTTCTGCCCCGACACCACCCTCAAAGCCATCAAAATTCAATTCAATATCACTCAAACACCCAGCTTGAGCGCTATCATCTATTTCTGTTTCTACAGTTTCAGGGGCAGGTAAGCTCATAAAAGTAACCAACTCTGGATCATCTAACCCATGTTCAACATATATTTCACACCTCTTACCCTTCAAAGTTATCTCAACTAAGTGCATACTGCTAGCATCATTATTTAAAAGTTTCAAGCACTTAAAAGATTCCTCAGGTAATTTGTATGTGAGTGATATAATGTTTCCCTATTGTTGCTCTTTTATGTACTTCATAAGATGTGGATAGCATATGTAGTCTGCGTCAATTTTTACAGATTCTACTTCTCCACCTACATACTTAAGGCTACGGTTTTTTACAAAGTTACCACCATGGTGAATAAGTAATTCAATAATATCTGACATCCTGAAATAGAATAAGCAAATGCACAGTATAAAAATCACAACTAGACAAAAATCATCTGTTGCACATGTTCTCACCATTATTAAATACAGAAATTGAAAATCACAACAAACAAACAATTTAAGCCTGGAAATTGTAGGACCACAAATGCAGGACCACATACAGTCTGGACCATAGAATAACAAGCATATTTATTTTGAGCTTTTCAGAGCAGGACCACAACACTTTAACTTCTCTAAAACTATTTTGAGATATTCAAAGCATGAAAACAAAGCAAAGCAGGACAACACTTTAACTTTTCTAATACTGTTGTTTTGAGATATTCAGAGCATGACAACAAAGCAAAGCAAAGCATGACACAGAACAATAAGCAGAGCATATTTAATTTGAGATATTCATAGCATGACAACGAAGCAAAACATGACAGCAAAGCAAGAAATCAAACCATTTTCTCATCTATTTATTTCAAAGCAAAGCAAATCTTACCTAGTTAGTTGTAAATGGCGTCGACGGGTAGTCCAACGTAGCTCGTCAATCCACGCTTCTCCTCTGTCGTCGATGGGTACTCCAACGCAACTCGTCAATCCACATTTCTCTACTATCGTCAATGACATCGACCTTGGCTTCTCCATTGTCGTTGAGGGGTACTCCAATGCAGCTCGTCAATCAACGCTGCTTCTCCAGTGTCGTCAATGGTGTCGGACTGTCGGGATAGGGTTTCACGAATTGGGAATTTGGGAATGCCTAATTTCACGATTGGTGTAGTCGATTGATGAGTTGTATGGAAATTTTGTTAATTATTGCCATGTAGACAAGCCACCTCAGCGTAACCGGTTAGTGTCATTGGCAACAGGCTGGTAACCTGCGAAAAATGCTATTAGAACAAAGTTGGATGGTTAGTGTGGCTAATTAAACTATATTTTGGTTCGTGAGGGGGGGGGGGGGGGGGGGGGAATTGAGCACTTCGCGATAGTAGAGGGGGCTATTTGATACTTCTGCCAAAATAAAATAATTCAAGATGTGTTTAGGAGCTTGTCTAAAAATTAATTCACAAGTTTCTTTTGATTGTGTCTAGAAAAACATTTGTTAAACTCATCTTGGCTTTGTCAAATAAAATTGAGCAAGATGATTATTTTTCAAAGACTTAAAGCGAATGACTGAGTATAGGTTTTGGCATTATCAAAAGGAGGGAAATTGTTCGGAATAAAGTGTAATGGTTTTGATATGCCAAATATGTATTTGTAGAACCCCCAATTTTATTTTATAGGTCTAGTAGAGTCTTAGACCATGATCGGGAAATTATTTAAATTGCAAAAGAGAAAAAAACAGAGGAAGATGCATGAAAATAGAAGAAGAAGATATCAAGCCGAATCAAGAATTTGTCTGGAGAAAATGACAAATTAAAGAAGAAGTTGCATGATATGAAAATCACGTCAATGCTACTCAAAAGATATCCCAGGAGAATTTTCGTCAAAACGAGTCTCCGGACGACGATAGTAAATAACAAACGTGTTCTCTGGTCGTTCTGCTGTGGCAGGTTTCGACAATGATCCTTCCGCAGGTTCACCTACGGAAACCTTTTTACGACTTCTCCTTCCTCTAAATGATAAGGTTCAGTGGACTTCTCGCGACGTCGCGGGCAGCGAACCGCCTACGTCGCCGCGATCCGAACACTTCACCGGATCATTCAATCGGTAGGAGCGACGGGCGGTGTGATTGGGGACCGATTCAAAGAAGTCTGGGAGCCAATTTCAAAGTCAAAGTCAAATAATTCAAATTGGGAAGCAATTGAAGCACCAGGAGTAGATTGGGAGCCAATTACAAGTCAAAGTCAATTGGGTGCCAATTACAACCAATTGCAATTGGGTGTCAATTTCAAAGGAGAAATTCAAATTAGGAGGAAGTTCAAAGCAAATTTGAAGCCAATTTGAAACATCAGAACACCCAGACGTGAGAATGAAGAAGATGAAGAAAAACTTACAGTAAAGATATTCTCACAAGGAAAAATACTAGTCTAATTAGTATGGGACTAAATTAAAGAATATTTTTGCAGTATTTAAATCCCAAAACCACTTCAGAGCTGATCAGAGAAGCCATTCTACACAAAACTGAGACCCAGATATTTCCAAGAGACGTGAGAAAACCAGAGGAATATCAGATGAAGTTTGGGTACTCATTTGCATGAAGTTGAAGCTCTACCAACGGCTAGCTTATCTCTTTTGACACTTTGCAGAAGATAAGATAAGATATCTGACAAAAGATACAAGATTTCAAAAATGAGATCGTTTCTTTCCAACGGACAGATTCTCATTACCAGCTATAAAAGGATGAAGATATGAAGACTTGAAGACAGAGCAGAAACAACGAACTAAAAAAAAAAGGGGGAACGAATAGAGCAATAGAGCATAAGAAAGCAAAGAGCAAAAATCTCATTTGGTACAGAACATACCAAAAGAAATCTTCAAGTGAAAAGTGAGAAAAGAAAAAGAACTTTGAGAGCTTAAAGAGAAATATTTAGAGAGTTCTTGAACAGAGCAAAACAGAGCATAAAAATCAAGTGCTTAACTTGATACACTCAAAGAGAGAAAATACTCAGAGCGTTCAAGAGAAATCATTCCAGAGTGTTTCATCTTCATCAAAGAGACCTGCGCATCATTGACGATATTCTACAGAGTCTCAGAAGTTGGAAGGAAGACAACACTTGTTTTGGAGCAAAACAAGAGAAGGGAGGAAAGTAGCACGGAGCTGTGAAATCCTGGATTGTCACACGGAGCTGTGAAATCCTGGATTGTCACACGGAGCTGTGAGATCTGAAGCAGTAGTGTCAGAGGCACTGGGCGTGATTAGTGCGGGCTTTGTGATCAAAGCACTAGATCACGGGATACGTTTCTACCGGAGTGTGCAAGACGGGGGGAAAGTAACGCGGAGTCGTGAAATCCTGGGATAGTAGCGCGGCGACATGAAACCCGAAGCAGCAGTGTGGTGTCACTGGCCGTGATTAGTGCGGGCTTGGTGATCAAAGCACTAGATCACGGAATTCATTGTATCTTGGAACCAAGAAGTGGTAGATATAGTGAATTGCTCTTGGAGATAAGAACAAGCGGAGTAGGAGGCCGGATTACACCACCTCCGAACCACTATAATTGTCTTGTGTTCTTTATTGCTTTCTTTACTTACTGCTCTTTACTTGCTCTACACGAGATATAGCTCACACAATCTCACACACACTTTATCTTTATTTAATTCCGCTGTGCACCATACTCTAACAATCTAGTTAAGAGTTTTGGTTTATCTCTAGCTTGGCAATTGTTGTGCTGTGCGAAAAAGTTTGAAAGTCTATTCACCCCCCCCCCCCCCCCCTCTAGACTTTCACCTTACCTCTTTTAGGACCAACAGTTTTCTTTCACGGCAGTAGAGGAAAACATAAGAAAAAGAACCCTTTTAAATTGTTTTTGTTTTGGGGTACGACAAAAGAAAAAGACGAGAAAAACAGTAGAGGAAGAAAAAGAAAGCTTGGGAGCAGCAGCAGGTTCGTCGGGCGAAGGATCATCGGCGAAGAAAAGAGAAGAGATTCGAGACTTCACCGCAGGAGATTTCTGAGCTTTAATTGGGGCTATTGTTTCTTTAAGTTATCGTTTCTTAGTTCTGTCTCTACTTTTATTTTTGTTAGTTAGGTTAAATTTTCATATTAATACTTCCTTTCGATATATCAAATTTCTTGAATAGTTTATGCATTCAATTATGATTCTTGGCTAGAAATTTAAACTAGGGAATTGGGATTAGGCTAATTTGATTATATTAATTGACTATTCTTCCTGTGTTGGTTCTTCGAATTTCAGTTAAATAATTGTAGTTGATTATTGTGACAAACTAAAATTTAATTTTATAAATCCAGTTTTAAGAAATTTCAAGATAACTAATTTTCACTCCATAAAAATTTTTGCGATGAAATCGGTGTTGAATAAATTATTTTGAGCCACTTTTAAATAAATTTGACACGAAGACTTGATTTAAATCCAACATCCTAAATTTTCATGTACATCGCGTACCAAGTTTTGAACTAAGAAACCTATCTGAGTGAAAGCAGGACAATTCTGAGAAGCCTAAATCAAGTGTTTATCTAGAAATTATCTTTGGGAAAATTCCTTTTCAACCCCAAACTATTTTAAATATCAATTCTAACATTGGTTCATGAAGCATGATGGACCACAAGCTACCAACACTTTGTCTGATAACATTTCTAGCCAAAGTGTTTACCCTTTTACCCTTCACCAATCATGAGGAATCATCCTAGGGTTTAGAGCCACTATATAAGGAGTAGTTATCAGACATTTGCGTCTTTGATTCCAATCTTGGCTTTCCCAACCTTAAGGTGCAAACAAGAAGAAAGCACAGTAAGGTTTCTAACTTCTCTTTTCATCCATTCATCCTTTCTCTGAGAACTTGGTAGTGAGTTGTTGTGATTTGTTTGGGATGTTTAGGAGGTGAAGAAGGGGGAATCTAGCTTGGGAAGAAGGTGGGATCCAAGCAAGGAGAAGAAAGCTTCAAAGGTATAACCCATGAACTCCCAAAGCTTTTTCTTAAACTCTGTGAAGTCTATTTTGGTGTAGAAATGCTAGTTCATTGAAGTGTTTGAGCTATTAAGTGATCTATTGTTGAATTTTGATATGTTGTTGATGTTTTGGAAGTGTTGGTTTGCCTGAGAAAATCCTTGTAGATGAAAGAAGTTATCTGGTGCACCAGACAGTGTGCACCAGTAGACTTCACGGGCCTAGCCAACGGTCCTCAGAGGAGGCTGTTGGCCAGCCCGTGAGAGATTGGCTCTAGGGAACGGCCCTGGGAGAGGACCGTTGCCCTGAGCCGTGAGTTTACCGGGGCAAGGGGGTGGGACTCGGCTAGTCCCGCCGAGGCCTCCATTGTTGAGTGGCTGTGCAGTGGCCGGGCCCTTGTGGCTCAGCTACGTGTCGTTTCGGACCAAGAGTCGCGGGCCCTTGTGGCTCGGAACCTCGGGGCCATCTTGACGCACGTTTAGACATTGATTTCGTTGAATTTGGAGAAGAAATGAGTTCTTTGTGGTAGATGTTGTAAATGAAATTGTTGCAGTAGTATGTCCAGTGAATGAGATTAAAAGCATATCAGACTTGATCATCTATATGTTGAGCATGTTATTAACTGGTTATTAGATGGAGAAGCATGAGCTTTGTTTGTCGAGTTTAATTAGAAAAAGCATGCCTAAGTGTATACTATGATAAATTGAGAATGTTGCCAAGTTTCTAAGTATGAGAATGTGCAGAGCATGCTTATCTTGATTTGAGTTACAGTGAATGAGCTTGAGTTGAGTATTTTGAGTTCCTAGTGCATATTAAATACTTGCTAAGTGTTTGTGGAGAAAATTTTTCAAGTTATGATTTACAAGCATGATTTATTGAATTATTGAGATTTCACAGTGAATAGAAATTGAAGCATGTTACAGTAAATTCCATTTGAGCATATCATGTTTTAAAAGTGCATAAGTGGCCAACGTGAGCCTAAGTATTATTTTCCAAAAACTCATATCCACTTTGGAGAGTCTTTATCTTGTCATATTGAGAAATTGTAGAAGAAGTTGTGTGCACATTTGCATCAGTAATGTGACACCCCAAAAATCCACACTCCAATCCATGAATTAATTGAGTAATTAATTCTAATTCTTTTGAGGAATTGATTCCTAAAATCCTGATTTTTAATACTCAAGGACTAGTATTTGACTAGTCAATCTTTAAGTTGTGTTGTACCTTGTGCTTAGAGAGGAGTTCCCTTGTTCCTTACACTTTCTAAGGGTTAGTAAGGGTAGCCTTGTCTTTTCACCAAGAGTTAGTATTGTATCCTAACCTAGAAGACTTCTTCATTTCATTCCTTACAATTCCTAGAAAAATATCTCTACCT